ATTTAATTTCCCTAGAAATTTAAAGCCAATGAAACTTATTAAATACGGGAACTTTAAAAAGTGACAAATACGAATTCATATTTTTTTTGCATGGGGATGGCCGGATGGGGATTTTAATCTGAACTCTCTCAAGCAATGGGGATCAAACTGGGAATATAAATAGAGTGACTAAAAGAATCAACCACAGACTCTATTTTCATCCTCCTTGGCTTATCTCCCTTCACGACATAAAGGCAAGACTCTCTATTTTCGTCGTAACAACATATGACAAAGCTCTTCTCATAGATATCATCGACAAAGTAACTTGGGCAATGGTCGTAACACTGATGAAATAACCTAGGGATGCCAGGTATTAAGATAGTCATGAACTTAACCCATACCACATCCCCCTCGTCCCCTCTTTTAATGTTGTTTTCTGTCACCCAAATCTCAATCATTTTTGTTTCATAGCATTGTTCTAACATCGAAAACCGACCACCTCTTAAAATCGAAAGGTAATGAGTATCTCCCTCATGGTTCTTCTTACACGGTAGAATACAAAAGTTTGTCAATATCTCCTTTGAAAAATCAAATCTTCGGATTAAAAACTCACTAGTCTCCATGTTATAAGCAGTCCAATACGAATTTCCGTTGTGTGATATAGGATAATCTAGTGGTTCTTTTATGGGCCATTCTTCGTAAGGGGCATTAATAGACTTCCACATATCAGATACACACTCGTATATTGCAAGTTTCCGATAGTCTTTATGGACAACTCGTGAATAATAGTAATACCCAAATATCTTGTAACCCATTTCAGGCCTACTACTGTCGTATCCTATCCCACATGACCTGAATACATAATCCTCGGTCATGATCTGTCTACCTTTTCTTAACAACGGGTTCCAAACTGCAGAACCGTTCGTAGAAAATTCACAAATCATCAACCCATCGCAATAAGTGGTGACGAAAGGCGTCCTAGTAAACACGCCGGGAATATCTACAGAAATCTGACGCTCTTTTATGGATGGATCATCGACATTGACATCTATTAGAAAAATCTTAGCTTTGTAAAATAAGAGGAGTTGTGGACGGGTATGATCCAAATGATTAATGACGAATCTTTTCTCTTGGAGAAGAGCATTCCATTGTTTGCAAACGGTTCTGAATCGAACAAGGCTTTTTGGTGGAACCCGAGAGAGGATCTCTTCCATCAACTCCCATGGAAGATTCACCGACGTCATTAGGTATTTTTTTTAAGGACGAATTTAAGATAAAAACTATAACAAGCAAGTTACATCAAAATATGATTAATATATATAGTGGGATATATGATGTCCCCAGGAAAATTATAATTGCT